TTTAAATTTCTTGAATTTAAATTTATTTTAAATTTAACTTTTCATTTAAAAAAAATTTAATTTATTTTAAATTTAAATTTTTGAAAATTTATTTCCCGATTTAATAAATTTTTTTAAATTTAAATGTGACACCCCTACCAAATGGACAAAATAAACATATTCGAAAGGAAGTGCGTGTGAATATTTTATTCTTAATATTTGAAATATACGTATGTATATTTTCTTCAAAAAACAAAAAATAGTGCACGGAAGCATTGCGATTTGGTCAATTAACTACACTTATATGCTCTGATTATGCATGCATATTGAAGCTATTTACTCATCGGCATCTTGGCCTGTATGGCGTAAAATCAACCGATGTTGTATACACAATTTCTTAAATCGTTAACTCTGACAATAGCTTGATGTCATGATGAAAGCTATAGAAGTCCTACGTGTAAAATATCGATGAGAACTGATCATCCAGGCCATAAAGATATTTATGCATCGATTAAGACACAAGTTGCTGAACAGAATTTTTTGTTATCTATCGAAATCTAAACATGTATTATGGAGGTACAGATACTCAAAATCGATGATGTTTTTCAAGATTATTTTCAATTTAATAAATTGTGAAACTAACAGTAACCATTCATTGGAACAAACAGAATCACACTTACGAGTATATCTAATTTTTTGTTCGATGATTAAAATTCTTTTTTCTGAAATCCTACGTTGACTAAAGCCGGTGTGATCGTATATATCTGATATCTGGCCTTCTGGCTAGCTTTTATAGAAACGTTTAGAATTTATTTAAGCTACTACCAGTTTTTCAAATAATCAAATATTAGAGTACTCGATTACGGTTGAATTAATTCTTTCATATCGAAATGGCGACAAAAAACGAGTAGTAAATCGTAACTTAATTTAGTCTAAATACGTATGAGGCAATTATATGTGTATAATTTATTGCTTCTGAGAAGTCATATACGATGTTCGTGGTATATTTGTTGTGATTAATAATAATGATACACATTTAATCAGGAGATACTTTCTGTCTTATGTTTGTAATGCCACACATGACATTCTTTGATTTTTGACACTCTTCACACGATGGGTTTATGCCTTTGGAGTAAAAGAAACATCATGGATATATGTCATGAGATATGACAAAGGGATAGTTTTCTTTGTTCTGATTTCAAAACCTATTTTATCTAAATGAGTATACATATTAATTGGCAATCCAATCATTCGTATGACTCGTCTCAAGCAACGCCATAACTAAAATATGTGTTGTCCCCTTAAAATTTATGAGTAAAATTTAATTTTTGTAAAGCAAATTTCATTTGAGAATGATTTAAAGCCTCCCGCTCTACCAGAATAGAAGGCCATGGCTTTCTAAAACTTTCCCATTCTTTGAAATATTTTTGTCGATCAGTGGTAGATTATAGTAGACGATAGATTAGACAATCAGAGAAAAAGAACAAGAATGCACCCAGAAAAACGGTCAATCATATCCATTAAGTGCAGAAGAAGTAACTTGTATATATTCAAATCGAAGTCAACAACGAAACAAAGATATGTATTATGATTATGAAACACATGATGAGCACTTGCAGTCACTACCCCGTTTCATCGGCGATGGAGAAGAATCGAATAGTTCAGCAGATAACGATCAATGTGAAATTGTTACTGATACAGAAGATAGTGAAAGTTTAATTGTTAATTTAAATAAATATTTAAATATGGATTCTACTTGTGATGACGAAGAGCGCGAACAAAATGTTCTAGAAATGTCAATTGGCGAAGATGAATTTGAACAAGACGATGATTCTGATGATCCAGTGCTGTCTAATCTCATTTCTTCAACAACAACACCCACACCCTCAGTCACTAGTGTCGTTCAATTACAAAAACAATTAGCAAAAGCTACCGATGATCAAGACAACACGAAACGGAAACGGAAACCATGGTCTATTAAAGAAAAATTATCGACTTTGAATAGCCTTGAAAAAAATCTTGGTAATAAACAGCTTACTGCTCATCAACATGGTTGTTCACGATATCAATTATCACAACGGCTTAAAGGAAAAATGGAACTTGAAACACTGTTCAAGCTCAAGCATGGTAAGAATAACGGATAAGTGGTGGTGGTGTAAAAATTAAGTTCGTTGATCTTGATCATCGATTATTATTATGGTTTCGAGAGAAACGAACATTTATTGATCCACAAGCTGCTGTTACAACTGGTACAACAACAGCAGCAACTATAAGACGTGAAAAAGTAACATTTCGTCAATTAGAACGACAAGGTAAATTATTAAGTATGGAATTAAAACATGCTTGTCCAAGTACGAAATGCTTTGGGAGATTCATGCGCCGTCATCGTTTATCACTTCAAAAACCGAAAAAAAATCAAAAATTTTCATTGTCCGATGCATATCCACTTATAAACAATTTCTATGATTATATTCGTCGAGCAAGTCAATCGGCACCAAGCCGTGGACCTATGGGAGTATCCCTTCCGCGAGATGTATGCAACACGGACGAAAGTTCATTAAGTTTATTTGGAGATCAATCGAGATTATCGATAAATGATGTCAATAAATCCAATGATATTGAAGGTTGTATTAGTAATAAACGGTTCGCTACTGTTATAATTAACAATTTTTAGTTCAGATAATACACGAGTTGGGCCGGCATGACTTTTTAAAGGAAAAGGGCAGGTGTCGAGTGTTGAGAAAATGCAATATGCTAATGGTGTTAAAGTGTATTTTACTCCGAAGGCTGTTAACAATCGGATTACAATGGATAAGTAAGTTAAAGAGCGAAGAAAAAGAAATCAACTGAAATTAAGGATGTGATGAAAAATATATTAATTCTTTTTTTTCCAGATACATGGAATATTGGATGTCGAAGGTCAATGACAAGAATCCGAAATTATTTATTTCTGACAGTTCAAATACACATCTTGATCACCAGTCAATTCGATTATTACGAAAGAAACAAATTGTTGTTGCCGTAATACCGAAGGGGTGTACTATGTATATTCAAGCACTCGATGTTTAAGTGTTTTCAATATTTAAAAAACATTATTATGATTGCTCAGAAGAGTATATTGAGAAAGTAGATGGTCGCTTGAAGGTCAAACTCGCTGCATCAGAATCAAGAGTTTTATGTACACGACTTACTTTGATTGCGTGGAAAATAACACTTTCTTCTATTGATTTTAGTAAAAGTTTTCGTGAAATTGGGTATACATGGGCCGATCATGTTACACCAATAAAGCTTCATACTCTTCCTGGATATATATACGATCCGAATGATCGTAACTTGACTTGTTCAATCGAAGATAATGAGATAGACTTTAGTATTTCTAGCCAAATAGCTAAAAAACAATTGAAGTTGACTGACTTTTGGTGAACTATAATTAAGCAAAGGGTCTATGTTACGACCGAAGTGTTCCCCTTCGATCGTAAGACGGAACAAACGAATAATGCACACTCCTTTCTAGTACAGTGGTTAATACGTCTGCCCGGAAAGCAGGAGGTGCATGGTTCGATTCCATGCGAAGGGGGATTATCCTTTTGTTCCGTTCTGTTGTCATACCATCACGTTGCTGTCTCGCTGATAACTGAGTATAATAATGTGAGCGAGAAGAAGACATAACAGTCTAATGTGTGACCGTTAATGATTTTTGTTTTGTATGAAGAATGTTTGTGATTAAAGAAAGAAAAATAAATATATGAATTAACATGAAATAAAGAAGAATATGCCAGTTTATAAATCAGTCACAGAGGGCTATTCACAGCTATCAATACGTCGATAAATCTAAATTAATTAGTCATAGCTCAATTTTAAGTTGCTGAGCTACAAAACAAAATTAGTACCTAATTAATTAATTTAAAAAAAGACGCTTTTACTCGGAGAATCATATTAGAAAGCCATTCAGAGATGAATGATATGAATTTTCATAATAAAAGACGATGGCCTTTTATTCTGGGGGGGNCGGGGGGGGGGTTAATATATAAAACTAATAATAGAAAATCAGTATTGCTGAATTCGCAAAAAAATACTTATTGTTATTGCACGATCTCTAGCTTGGTCAAGTTATAAGACGGTTTCGTTTACACAGCTCGTACAGAAATATGATAGAGTGGTTTGCATGCCTAATCTAGAATTCTAAAAAGTAGAAGACCAGCCAGTGCTCGAATCTAACCTCGAGTAGTCGAATAATTCAAATAATCAAATAAAATAGCTCACTATCCGACTAAATGAAAAAACGAGAGTTACTCATAAAAACTAGGTCTGATCAACTAAGAATATGATGCTGTCAGTGACAGAAAGTGTATGATGTTCCTTTTTCAGAGTTAAACGATCAAGCACTTGAACTCTCGATTTTAAGCACTTTTAATCGGCTTAAAAGCGGTTACTAAGAGAAAGTTTAAGCTAGCTTTTTCGCTGAAATTTTCATATGGGTGCCTGGTCCGGTGATTCCTGGTGAATTCGCCTGCCAAATTAAATATTCAGAAAAACTTCTGATATTAAATACTATATTCTCATTTATCCATGTTTCCTCGACAGTGTTACTCAATTTGTTAGCCAATTGCTTAATTGTAGGTTCGATTAGTCGTCGACAAGCCAACCTACACGGACAAACTTGTTGATCATAATGGATTTTACAGTTTCGTCGTCACGATCATTCCCAGAAGAATCATTCCGAGAGTAGGATCCTATCGGATTCCGACAAGGATCAGACAGTGAATATACCGAATATCATATATGTTCCAATAAAACCGACGAAATCTTATGGGATTCCTGGACACGGACCTACAGCCGGATCCTTGGTATTGGATTTAATCGGATCCGATATTGGATTTTAGCGGAATCAAACTCTAACGAATCACCCTTGCGCTCTGATGACTCAAAATGCTTATTTGATCGTGAATAAGAAAATTATTTTTTCCATCGGAACCAACAATAGATCCGTTGTCGGATTCATTCATCTGGGTTTCTTCATTTCTCCTACATGAACTGTAGTACGCCATCTTTTTTAAAATTATTTACTATTATGAATTCTGTGTCTTCTAGCTATCTATTTTACCTCATCTAGCGATTATATTGAAGTTCTTCTGTGCCAGTACTAGAAGCAAATAGTTGTTAAGATTGAGCGCTGCATTTGTCTTGATTATTTATCTTCCACAGACAGCAACTTTCTTACTCTTCATTTGGCCTTCTCACATCTATTTAAAAATTTTCCAAACTCGATCTCTAAGTGAAAAATACTTGTGCAATCGGTGGAATCGAAATAATACAATCACACGAATAAATGCAGTCACAACTGTGGTCACAATGAGACTAAAAACTAAAAATTAAATAAAATTATAAAACTCTGAGAAGCTCATAAATAGTACATCGTCCTTGGATATCAATGCTGGCTGTTGTAGTGTGCCTATATTTTCGTTGGTCAAAATAGGAACTTTGCCTATCCTTCTCATTCAAGTTCAACAATGAATGAAAAAGTGTTGTTCTGTTGCATGCAAAATTGACAACCAATCAAGAATACGTGATCAACGAGATGAAACGAAGTTAAAAACTAAAAGAAACTAAATCTAATATGCGCATTCATCTTCATAGAGTTTTGTATCAGAATTTTTCAATCTAAATTTTAATGTTATCTTTATACATTTATGAAATTCTTTGTTGAGTATGTATTATTTTAATATCATTGCTTTTTTGTAGTTTCTTTGAGTCTATTACATATTTCTTAGGTATTTATCTAGTGAGAAGGTTTTACTGTCTAGCCATACCCTTCTAATTTTGATCCCAGCACAAAATATAGTTTGAACCTGTCGAACCCTATTTATAATCGAAATTCATTTATCTGAATAAGCTTCTAAAAACTGATTCTATGCAAGTAATAGTAACATCGTAACAACTTTAAAAAAAAACATTTTCGATAGCTGTTTTCATTTTTGCAATACAGCACGTCAATTATTAAGACAAAAGCAAAACGTATTTTACTATTCAACTATAATTACATGTTGTATTTTTGTTTTGAAAGAACTCCCCGTTGGAGTCCAAGAATAAGTGCGCATAAACACAACAAAGTCCCCTGGTGGTTTTCTTTTTTTTTATTCAAAAAAATAAATGTGTTAAAAAGAACTCCTTTACGCATAAAAACAGCAGCTACCTCGATCAAATGATGTTTCTCTGATCCGAAGATGCAACGAATTCTAATTGAGGTCATGACAATGCTGTAAGTGATTCTTTTAAAGAAGATCAATCGTGGTATTCACTTTTCGTTTTAGATATACTGTCTGTATTGTTATAGGTATGATAAACTGATAATATGCTGTCGATTATTGAAATGTCTAATATAAATGGCTTCTTTAAATCTAAATTATTGTGGACTAAATTCATGTTTTGTCTTTGTAACCCATTATAGGTTCCGACACAGCCAGCGGACAAATTTCTACGTGTGAATGCTGCTCTTCATCGCATTGTCCATTAACAGTAGAGCAATGTTCGGTTAATTTGGATTGTGAATGTTTGTGGGTGACGATGTCGGAAAGACCAATGTGTGCTGATACCGTAGTGTCTTGTCAAGATTTAGTCCCATGTGAAATTGACAATAAGACGTGTACTGAACCCAGCAGTGTATGTGTCAACAACAGCCGATGTAGTATTCCTGTTTGCTTTCCGATCGATCGTGCCTCTTCTCAACGTTGTCCACCGTGGACTACAAAAAATTCAGTCACTAGAACAGGTCAGTTTCTAATTAACAAGGATGCGAATCCACATTCAATAATCAGCTTATATCAATGCAGTTTTTTTATTTGCAATCAACATCGTATTCTTTGTTAATACAAGTTTTCTTCATAGCACGCACAGTTCTTCCCCTCTACAATTCGTTTCTCATTCTCTGTCGTATTAAAATCACAAAATTTAGAGTACTAAATTCATCTACTGTTGTAAGTTCGTACAGAGAGAAAACGAAAAAAATTTCGTTATCGTGAAGTATTTGATGGTGTTACGGCATGTAAGGTTTAGTGAACATTTTTTTCATTACGTAAGTAAGTTGATCACTTGCTGGTTAGTGAAAATCCATGTAAGTTGCACTGCTCACCATCGCACACATCTGACGATTACGCGACTATCCCAAGCGTGACATTGAAGTAACAACAGACTACAACTCATGTCAGAAAATTCGGTCAGTACACGGCCGTTTACGGTGAAAAAACGATATCCGTTTTGATCAACCAGGGAATAAAAAACTCTACTGGTATTGCGAGTCGAAAGTGAGCTGAACAAATCAATTGCACACTATATTTTAATTGTCTAATGACAACGATGAAAGCTGTTCACATTTCATTCAAGTAGAACGCAATTTTTATTTTAACCGATCTGACTATAAGTAAAGATAAGAGGATTTTACCCACTCAACATATCACTGAAACAATTTAACACATTTTCAAATAGTAGAACACACCTGTTAACCGATGCAATTTCTTGTAGGTAGATAAGGTAAAGTATGTGACTAATAGAATAATTTAATATATACAAAATAGACGACTGAATACAGGCAAGCCTATTTAAACTATTGGCGCAGTACTATGCATTTAGCTCACTGAAAGTTGAGTACCATATAGAACTGATACGTGAGTATGCAGAGTAATCCAGCTCGAGTAACTTCTGCAACAGACAGAAAAATCTAGTTTATCTCATGGTTGACAATGAGGCTTAAATAATCAGCTAATTGAGTAAGAAAAATGTTGAAAGCTTCATTTTACTCTTCAGATGGCCCTTTAGTTTTTGGAACATCAAGATCAAATCAAACTTTAAAGTACAGAAATTTTTATTTTGTCGTTCGACATGAATACCTCTTGTTTACAAACTCATGATTGCAGAAATCTTATGAAAATTAAATATTGATCCAAATAGACAACTATGTTCTAGGATGGTTGAATACCAATAGTATAAGATTTGCGCGATATTATCACACAGCATCGATACTAAGTGATGGGAGAGTCTTGATTGCCGGCGGATTCGGCTCGAATGGTCCTTTGAATAGTGCAGAATTGTACGATCCATCCACCGAACTTTGGATAACGACTGGTACTATGAGTGTTGCAAGGTACATGCATACTGCGTCAATACTTGCTGATGGAAAAGTCTTAGTGGTTGGTGGATTTGGTCCTATGGGTTCTTTGAATAGTGCAGAACTTTACAATCCATCAACAGGAACATGGACAAAAACTGGCAGTATGTGCGTTGCAAGGTACTCTCATACAACATCGATATTAAATAATGGAAAAATCTTAGTGGGTGGTGGATTCGATGCTGGTGGTTATTTACAAAGCGCGGAATTATACGACCCATCATCAGAACTTTGGACCAACACTGGTAACATGAACATTGCACGCAGTTTACACAGAGCTTGCATACTAACGAATGGAAAAGTCCTAGTTGCTGGTGGATCTGACTCTAGTGGTTATTTGAATAGTGCTGAGTTATACGATCCATCAACAGGAGTGTGGACAAAAACAGGCAGCATGAATTTTGCACGACACTTTCATACAGCATCGATACTCACGAATGGGAAAGTTTTAGTTGCCGGTGGATTTAGTTCTAGTGGCTACCTGAACAGTGCGGAACTGTTCGATTTATCCGCGGGACGTTGGAAAATTACTGGAAGCATGAGTACTGCTCGTTGCTATCACACAGCATCTATACTGACTAATGGAAGAGTTTTGATTGCTGGTGGATACAATTATAGTGGCTATGTAAACAGTGTAGAATTGTATGATCTATCAACGGAACTTTGGATAAAAAGTGATAGCATGAGTAATCCACGATATTCGCATACAGCATCCATACTCATCAATGGAAAAGTTCTGGTTGCTGCTGGATATGGAGATACTGGCTATTTAAGTAGTGCAGAATTATATGCATAATCATCACTTATTTAAAGTCGTTAATACTCACGAGACATAAATCTGAACTTTTTATTGATAAATTTACTACTTTCAGCTTAATTTTTTATTTTGAATACATAGACAACGAGAATACATCCTATTCTGCAATGTTGAACATTCTGAAACTCGTTCCATCTAATTCCGGCAATTTCGTTTATTGCTTCCAACAAAATTCCGGAAATCACTGGAACGTAGAAGCAGCATTCCGGCCGGAAATTTCGGAATTTTTCGCTGTGAAACCCCAGCGATTTCCTGTGATTTCAGCAAGAATCGATTGGGAAATCACCGAAAATTTACGGCCGGAATACTGCTTCCGATTCCCACGATCTCCAGTATTTTTATGCAGGATACGGCGGTTTTTCAAGCATTTTCCTGCCAGTTCTCGCAGTATCCGTTCTCCGGAATCATTGACCTGAGAAGTTGTCATTTCTAGGAATTCCCTGTGATTCCGCTTTTACCTAATTCCGTGCAATTCCGGGAATCAAACAGTGTTCAGGTTTGACCTAGTTTCGCAATTGACGGAACTGATTCCGAAGCGGAACTGGTTACGGAATGTTCAACATTGCGGAATAAGATGTCTGCTCGTAAAATTAGCTTCCTCGTATAAGTTGTACAGGTTTTTATGTTGCAATTTGTGGGATCATTTTTTAAGCAAAACGCATTTAGGGATCAAAATATGAAATGAAAGTTCCCCCATTTATTATGGACCACTTGTTAGCACGTTACATGCACCTCGCATAAAAGAAATAACGAGCGACTGTAAAGCATAAGACTTAGAAGCCTTGAAAACTTTGCACACAATCATAAATATGCCTGAGAACTGTAGCAGAATACTTGAAGAATTTAGATTAGCAAATTGATTTGTATTTGTAAGATTTGCAGATCAGTCTGTTTTTTCGTTTAAATCATTCTCACTCTGCGGTTCTATACCACCTTTAAATAAAAGCCACAAACCAAATCCCAGCTCACCAATAATCATAGGTAAGCTAATAAATAATTCAACTGTTGCTTTATATTTTTCGTAATTGGATAATAGTAAATTAGCAAAATTACTGGTGATGTAACACAAAGAAGCAATGATTAATAAAATACCAAATAGTTTGGGAATATAACCAGACTTGAAAACTAAATAGCCAAGAACAAAAAGATGACATCCAAAAACAACTAACCCCATCGACCAAATATTATTAAACCCTTTTAAAAAGAATGTTACCAAGGCATTTAACTGATTTGTTTCAAAAACAGACAAGTAATTTGAACCATTCAATAGTAACACAACAAAAGCTAAATTTAGTAGGGCAATTCCCAAAATTGCTGAATAGACAAGCCGAAACCAAGCAGTAAGCAATGAAAGATTTTCGTTTAATAGTTTGAGAAAAACATGAAGTGACCAAGCCGCCAACACATCAAAGATAAGCACGAGAAGAAAGCTGAAAATGCCAACACGAAATAGCATTATAGAAGACTTAATATTATTAGCTGTTAAAGTTGTATTGTCAGGCACAATAAGACCGTTGAGAACAAAACCATAGGCAAACCCTGCGAGAATTGCCATAATTAAAATTGAAAATCCTGCGACCAATGCAGCTGTACGTTGTGAAATAACCGACATTGTGTTGTTTATTTAAAAATCTGATTAATATTAATGTTCTAAAACAAAGGGCAAGTTATCTTTCTGTTACGTCTGACATCTTTATCTAGTTGGAGGTCAACACTTTCTTGTTTGTTTGTTTCCTCTCGTTCTTCTCTCCTTTTGTTTATTGTTATAAACAGTTATGTCTTATACGTAATAAAGAAAGCCCTGTGAACTCAGGACATAACAAGTGGTGACAGCGGTGTTCAAAAAAGAAAAATTTTTTTTTCTCTTTCTACAATTAGGGCATTTAATTACATGATAACATCCTTTTAAAAGGATTGTTTCTGTTATTACTTACATAGTGAACTGAAGTTTATCTCAAAGATCTTGGTACATTGGATGTACACTTCCACTCGCTCACAATTAAAATTACACACACATCAGATTTCTGATTTATTATATTATTCTCCACCTCGAACACATAATAGTTTTCATCATTCAATTAATCAAACAGGAAATTCTCCACCTATTCTACTTATTTCACCCACAATTATGTCGACATCTCAATCGTTATTAGAATTCTCTGACGAACAAAAGACTGAGGATTATATACCTCCAGTCGAAAATAAGTCTAATTTTCAGTCATTCCGAATGCAAGAAAAAATCGCTNGTTGTGAAATAACCGACATTGTGTTGTTTATTTAAAAATCTGATTAATATTAATGTTCTAAAACAAAGGGCAAGTTATCTTTCTTAAATTATTATCTCAGTGGCACATAATTCCTGTTTCATATACATTTAGGGCGAAAAGAAGGAATATACATGGAATCTATGCACAAAAAAAAGAAGCAGACAGGATGATACTTCCAATAATAAAATTTAAGTCAACGGACGATTTCCTAGAAGATGGCATAGCTGGTCTGCCATTGACAGTAAACAAAGACCAGTATACGAGACGAGTAAGGAAACAACTATCAAACGATGTTTGGATCGGTAGCGCTTGAGTGTGAAGTATACCAATGGTGTTGTGGGTCGTCTATGGGAGTGGTAGATACAAGTCAAAGTACGATCATCTGTCAGTTGGGCTCGCGTGCGATGATATGAAGATGAATCATGAACGTGAAATGAGTACGAATTTGCTATAATCTACTAACAAACTCTTCCTCCGAATCATCCCTCGTTGGCTATTTACTACAACAACATTGGTTCAGTGTATAATCACATGGATGACTACTAAAAATCAGTTGAATAAACGTAAAGATTCTTCCATCGAATCATCCTCACATTAAGATAATGAATAATAGTATTATCTCTGCGACAAAGAAAGCGTAGTTTAATTTCTGTTTGTTTTTTTCTGCTCTGATTTCTCTTGCTCAACGAAATGATGTAAAGCAAAAAGTAGGTCCATTTTTTATATTGAGAACAGATATTCCAGCTGCAGCTAATAGCCTTGTCATTAAAATCAACCATGTACAATTTTTAGGTCCAGAAGATCGCAGTGACTAATGTTCACTATAAAACTGTTTCAATAGATTGTGAATAGATCTTCTGTAGGCTCTTGTTAGCGTCAGTAGATGGTGCTTACTGACGCTAAACGTTTATCTTTGTCTTTCGTTATTGCGCAGTTGTTGATGTTCTATCGTATCGATCACTCGATACTCAATATATTCTATATATGACACGACGACAAAGTCGATTATTAAAACATATTTAGCTCTCTAATTTTGGCAGACTAAACATTAGTTATACCATTGCTACATAATCCCCAAACGAGAGCTAACAGCTGCTTTCTCTACTTACTTGTCGCCAATGAAATGACGAAGTGAATGTGGGTGCTTTTACACGATACGCACACCCTCATTGTTTCACAGTATATGATAAGCGAGAGAGAGGAAAGGAAACAATGTTATTGAATAGTTCTCTCTGTCGATTGAAATATTGTTATGAAAGATGTCGCATGACTATATATGAATTTATTTGAGAAAAAAAAAGAGAACACAAGACAATCTATTGTACAACATATTTTTCTTGAATAGCTCGAACAAGATTTTCAAATGGGCGATCTCCAAAACGCTGACGCCACATATACTCAGTTAGATAAGTTCCGAGAAGAGTTACATGCTGCCCTATTTGGTTTTTCTTTTTTTTCTTCATGCACATCCATAAATTCTCAATATTTTGAGTATGTGTTGAAGTTGTCGGATCAACGAAATTTACGGAGTGGTTGACTGTATTGATGCGGACCGGGTCCATTAGCAATTCCGTTGTAAGCGGCCCATTGATCATTGTAGATCCTAGTGCCAGCACGAATATATTGATAGATGATTGGACGAAGTATTGCAGCATCGCGTTGATAAACTAAAACTACAAAACAGTCGCGCGTATCTCTATCGATACCGCCAAAGACCCACTGATTCGACACAAGACGCCCCCGATTGTACTTTCTTTTTGTCCACGCACTCTCATCAATTTCAAAAATGTGCCCGGTCCTCCAATGACCGCCGAATGTCTCAAAAAGTGCTGGCCACACACATCTCGTGCAAAATTCTTTCAATCCACTATTGTTGATTCGCTTGTAAACTTATAATGACGTCTTAAGAATGCATGAGAAGCGCCCAGAAGTATGTTAGATCAAGAACTTGACGAATTGCAAGTTTCGAATTAGAAAAAAATGTGCCGTGTCGAATAGTTCTTGTACTTTTGCATTTTCCACATCTTCATACAAATTCATCAGATGCTCGTGCACAAGAACCTAGTTTTTAATTATTATAACCTTGTGCAAAAGATTCATTTAGAGTGAAACCGATCAAACCAACGTTTTGACAGAAGTCGATACATTTTTTCGTGCTAAAAGTTAATTTGCACCATTCTATCACCTCATGAAGACATACACTGATAAAAATATGTGGAGAAGGATAAACCCTCAATATCCGTTTATGAACGTCAGGAAAAATGGTTTATGAAAAGGTTAATCATGACTATAAACGGATTTGACGTTCATTAACGAGCGATAATTCTCTAACGAGCCTATTACAACATGTGATTCTAATAAATTGGAACAAAAATAACTGTCTAAGCATTTAGGATAACGAATAAAAAAATTTAACTTTTGAAAATACGAAACAAAAAACTTTCATCTAAATGAACATAAAGAATTTTTAAAAGTTTTTCGAGGTAGTTTGTTTTGGAATCTATTTCTGTTCAGAGGTATGAAAAAAATTAGATATTTCTTATTCAAAATATCGGCTACAATTACACATATGTTTAACGAAAACGACGTAAAATATCAAACAGCTAAACGTGCATCAATAACAGAAAACAGTTGGTTTGGTTTACATAATATTACACTTTGTAGTTCGTATATTTCTTTTCGTTTTTTTTTATAACATGTTTTGTTTCTTTTAGATCCGACACCCAATGCAGGGAAAAAAGCTGAATCAAAAAATTTTCCACCAACATGAAGATGCGAATTATCATCAGTCGCTTCTCTTCAGATTAAAATAAAAACAACCTATCATCATCTTTGTTGTTTTTTACTAATTTTATTATAAGAAAAAAGAATAGTAAACATATTAAAATAGAAACAATTGTTTCATCTTTGTTCTTATATTTCTAGATTATTTTTTAATCTTTTGTTATAAATTAATTAGTTGTAATGGCCACACAAAAGCTCATCAATATTCTCGGGCGAACAGTCATTTGATCTAGGTATTAAGATTTATTATTTGATAATTAATATATAGGAATTTACTTTAGCACAAGTCGATTTGGAGAATGCATGCAATTTTCTTATGATAGTAAATGAACAAGATTTATTATGTTACGAAATGATACAAGTCTTTCAAGAATAATGATTTTGTATACGAGAAGATGCTAGAGCTCATGTCAAAAATAATGTAAATTGTTTTTCTTATATATTGATTTACAATATTCTATTTTATTCAGTGTTTCAACATTTTTGATACCGAAGCAGCTAAATCATTACAAGTAGCCCAATGTATTGGTTATTTATGACTTGTGCTGAATTAACACGTGGTTAATGAGGAGATTTAATCAGTAAGATTTTCATTGAAAATCTATATATATATATATATGTCATATTATAGAAGAACTTCTATCTAATATTACATCCATTGGTAGATCTGATAGTGTCTGTGAAACGAGTTTGGAAATACTTGGTTATGCATGTCAAGTTATTAAAAACATTTTTAGGAAAAATAAAATTTACTTTTTCTCGTGACTTAAGAGTCATATATATATATACTTGTACCATAAGATTAATGTTATTTTGACTGCAATTTTATATAAATTGCGTAAAGAAGCATGAAAGACTTGCTGCTACAACAACTATGCTTAATTTATTGAAATTTACAAAGAACAATTTTCAAAAATGATGTTAAATTAAACTATTTCTATACTAAAAGAAACAATGAGAATGTTTCTTATTTGAATAGTAGGAACACCATTAAATCATGCAAGTTGTATGTCAAGTCATATAATCAACAAATCTTAAGAGTAAAAAGCTTATTTTAAAAATTTGAATTTCATTTTTCTTAGATTCAAGTAAAGTTGATGATTTTCGTCTTGTCTTATTAACTAATTGTGCAGAAAATACAATCATTTAATATGTATTTACATTTATCAATGAATATATCAAACATAACTAGTTACTGAACAATACGATTTTTAATTGAATTATTATGCTGATCAAAATGTTCTAGTATGTGATACAAAAACTTGAACAATTGGAAGAACATTTGAGTTTGTTTGACAGCTTATTATGAATGACGAGTTGCTTCGAACGATTGGACAAGATTTTATTATTGGTTTGCTAGATGTAGCACGTCTTGTAATGAATATTAATTGCATGAATAAATGAGAATTTCGTATGGATTTTGCTTAGTCATTATCAAGTTTAGCTTGAATTGCTTATGAATATGCAGAATATCGAAATAACGATGAGACACGAAAAACTTTTTTTTTTATAACTATTTGATGAAATTGTTGAAAAATGAAGTCACTCATTTTGCTGTTGAATTATAAAATATATATTAAAAAAAAATCTATAACTTAATATAAAAATCAAACGATCTTTTTATTTGATTTAATAAACAAAACAAAATACCAAAATTTTTGTTCTATTTGTATTTAAATTTTTTTTTACAAGAAGTTCAAGCATAACAAAGGAAAGAAACATTTGCAGCTTTATTTTATTATAACCACACAAAAAGTGTATTTTCATCTATCGTCTTAGGAACTTCAGTTCGAAAAGAACGAGTATTTGAATTCTGCAAATCACGCAAACCTTGATCATAAATTTCACCATAATTATCAGCACCAATAATAGTAAGGAAAGATAATTTCTCGAGTCCGTTGATAAGAATGTGAGACATTTCAATGAGTTTAACATTAACACTCTCTAATTTTATGACTTGTAAACTAGATAGTCGTTTGACGATTAAATTGCCAATTTTTATCAAATTTGTTTGATCGAAAGCAGGAAAAAGATTAAGTTGCCTTAAACCATTTGACATGAGCATATTACACAAAGAAGTATCATTGAAGAGATGAATTAAAGTTTTCCTTTTCGAATCAACTTTATACTCAAATTCTCGTCTGTAATGTAGTTCTAAAATACGTAGATTAGTTGTTTGCGAAAAGAGAAGGTGAAGATGAGTTGAATTGAATGGGTGAGGAATACTAAGCGATGTAACTTGATGCCAAAGAACGACAGGCGGCAACAAAGAAAGAAACTTATCGTTGATTCGATAATCCTCATTCATAATAATCGCATTGCAGCGAAATAATTGGCTGTTGAAGACACATCTATTATATGACCACTGATTTCGTCTAAGTTCAAAAAACAAATGTTTGTTATAAGAAAAAACAATTCCCTGCTTATACCCATACACAGTATTTTTATCTAGATAAGAATAGACACGTAAAGATTTATCCATTCTTGGTATTGTTGCAGCTCGAATCGAATACACGTTTTCTTTTAAAGATAGTTCTAGTTCTATTGATACTGATCCTTTGAGATTTTGACACGTGTCGGATAAGATTTTGTCTGTATTCGGTACTGACATTCCAATTCTCACAAACCACTTAACATCAAACGAATATAAACATTGATTGGAAAGCATCGATACTAAATTGTGAAGCACACGAGGACCAGCTATTTTTGCATATAATCTAAAGTTTGTTAATGAAAATAAAACATCACGTTCAAATAATTTATTAATTGATTTCAGTTGAATAATGGAATTAAACCATTTTATTTTTAGACGGCGTAGATTTGGAGCAAGACGTTTATTAATAGGTGTGATTTCACTAAAATATATTAAACCAGACGATTTTGGAATAATAAAATATGCATCACTTATATTATTTAACTTCTTAGTCAAATACGCAGTTTTATTTCATTTATCTATATCAGATAGCACTAGAGCTGCTCAATTTTAATATGAAAGTACTCTTTGCGCTTTCATCCTTAATTTGATTGGATCTAATATGTTTAGATGACAAGTCTCAAATAATTATCAACGAATGCAATTGAGAGAAATGAAAACAAGCGTTTCCTCTGCAAGAATAAATCGAAAAATGTCACACTACTAAACTTTATCACTTCTGTAATTGAAGCAATAACTAATTACGAGGGGTTACATGAATTTTGGCCCACGGAATTTTCGGGCCGGACTTTCGGACCAATTTTATACAAATTCATTAAGCTCGGAGAAAAAACGAATTTTTTTGAAAATTGGTTTCTAGATTTTTTTAGTACCGAGCGAAGCGACATAGTGCCGAGCGAAGCGTCATAGTGCTGAGCGAAGCGACGTAGTGCCGTAGCGCCGTAGTGCCGAGCGAAGCGTCGTTTTTCATTCCATAGAAGAAAAACTAGTTGAAATAAAAAAACCGAATTTATACCTAATTTACATCTCATCTCAACAAATTTCGAAAAATATAACAGCAATAGTGAATTCTACATCTAAAATAAAACTAAAAAATGTGCATCCTTAAGCCAATATTGAGATTACACTAGATTCGTTCGTGCTTGTTGTGGATAAACGATATGTATCTTAAAACGCCATACTGTGTTCTATAATAATAGAAGTGCTGTTTTTAACACTATATTACTTCGCTCAGCACTACGACGCTTCGCTCGGCACTATGACGCTTCACTCGGTACTAAAAAAATCTAGAAACCAATTTTCAAAAAAATTCGTTTTTTCTCCGAGTTTAATGAATTTGTATAAAATTGGTCCGAAAGTCCGGCCCGAAAATTCCTTGGGCCGAAATTCCGGTCTCCCATTACGAGCGACAAAAATAATAACTTTTGTCTTGTACTCACCGAAATCACAAGCAATTTTGATGATTCCTTTTCATATGCGCTCATCTATAACTTCATATAACTCATATTTGATTAATTTCAACCATTTTTCTTATGTATGCTGTAGATTTAAAAATCTAATGCGTAACTTAATTGTAATTCCTCAACAATTTAATATCTTCTCGCTATTGTCAATATTTCATTCTGAAAGTTAATAAGAATGGTTGAACAAGTATCTTATTATTTAATAAATAATAACATTTTAACTAGAATGTCTTCTAGGAAATTGGTTAGATACATTCTCTTCTATCATACGCTTTACATTTAGTTTATAAATTAAAATATACATTCCATTAAAAGAAAGAAGCTTACCTATTATATCTTAGTGGATGTTCTCGAGGTAGCCAAGGGGCAGTCTGTGTATAGCTGAGTTGTTCCAATTGTGGAAGATATTCAAATAAATATTCAAGAAATCCCGGTGAACAAAAAAGTGCGAGTGATTGTAAATTTAAAAGTTTGACTTGAATAGGCATAAATGCTCTACCAAATGGTAGAACGAATTGACCGTCTAAAGTAGAATGTATATATCGCCGAAAAAACAGATGACATACACGTAATGAAGGAAATAAATGAAAAATTCGGTCATAATATGCACTTTCAGGCGCACCTGAAAACGTATAAGCAGCACGACTATCAGTTGAAAAGCGTAGACTAAACATGATGAGAGATTTAATGGGTGACAATGAGTTGAGAGTCAATTCAAAAGAAGAACGTTTTATGTCAATTAAAGATAGATGACGGAGATTGATGAATGTAGAAACATGTTCAGCTAACCAGATTCCATTATCAATAGCTAATCTATCTGAGACACATAATGTAATAAGACGACAGGATATGTTTAGTTGTGACAAATGTGCGTAATAAAATTCGGTGACTGGTATATTTATTCCGTTAGAACCCAAATAAACTGGTATAATTGGCATGTTATTGATGATAGCAGCAAATCGTGAATTAAGATTAGAAAAAATATTGAATACTTCATGAAGTTGAAAATAAGTAAATATTTCGTAGAATAATTCGATAGGGATAAGCTCTAATGTTGTTGTTGTCATAGTTTGTTTTAATGCCATGCTGTTGAATATTCTACCTCATTCTTATATAATCGCTTCATAGGCAATAGGACAAAGCATTATTGTCCTTCCTGACAATAAAACAATATTTTTATTGCTATTCGTCACCTTCATAGGTCAACATATGTACAGTTTGTATTCCCTTTCATTTCGATCATTTTTTCTCAATAGCGTCTTTATTATAAGAAGTAACAAAAACATTTATTCGATAGTCATGAACGATCCATTTTATTTATATGAAACTAATTTTTTGGCGTCACATGTGACAACATTTTTGAAAAAAAAACTTGTAAAAGCATTATGAATAATAATTAGAAGCATCGATTACTTTTTTTATTATCATTTTTTTTCTAATGAATGTGATTTCGAAAGCTATAAGGCATCAAAATTTTATTAGTCTTCAATGAACTTCGAACATCATTTAGATAGGATTTCAGTGAAAAAGAATGAAAATGTTTTATTTTAATTGAAAAAAACTAATATTCATCATAGCATAACAACTAATAATAGAAACAAATTATTTATTATGTCTAATAGCTTTTTCCAACGATCATTTGTTGCATTGCATTTGATTGATTCTCATTTCTAAAATCGTTAAAAAAATCAAAGAATTTTTCTGAATCTTGCTTCATACAAATAATAACGAGTTAGGAATTTTTATCATCAAAACATTGTATAGATAAAATTTTTGTGTGGTGATAAATTAAATTTCTAATCAAATGGCAAATCTAATATAATAAGTTTATTAGTTAATCTGTTTAGAACTAAAGACTAGAAATGAATGACAATAAGAAAATACTTCGAGTTTATTTTTAATAATATAATAATATAATTATTTAATATCTAAATGAACCAATTGAACAATATAAATATGAATTTATTTTGTTTGGTTATCATGAATATAAAGACGATCGGAATTATAGTTCATTAAATTCATTGAATTTGAATAATAATTAGAAGAAATAAAAGAATTTTCAACTAAAAACAATTGATTTGACTAATATTTTAAATGTATAAAGACTTGCCGATGTTGCCAACAATATAATCTTGTAATATTTAATATCTAAAAAAGAAATATTAATAATAATAATCAAGAATAATTCTTTATTATTGATTACCAAAATAAATGAATAATGTTCTTTTCTGTCTCAACTCATTAACCCAATGGCTATTTAGAAAATATGACGTTTTAAAATTAATTTCAGCAAAAAAGCATCAATGTTCAAGATCATCAGTTCGATCAGAAAAAAATAATCAACTGAACATGAATAAAAGCATCTAAAGTAAAACATTATTATTTTGCAAAATTGATAATTTTTTTTCTCGATTTTCTTCAGCCACAAGCGCAATAGATTTTTTCTTATTTTTTACTGAGCGAAATAAAATTGTTGTCACAGTAATACGGGGTGGGTGTGGGTGTGTGGGTATGGGTGGTGTGGAGGGTGGGTGTTGATGTCCTGGATACCCACATTCACATCCTCGAGAAGAATGAGCGCGGAAGATTCTTTGCTTCTAGATAATAATTAAAAATTTGCTAACAAAACAAATAGGAGAATATTCTTAATTTAGATGAAAGTATTGGTAGCTAATCGTACAATTGTATTTCATATCAGTAATATCGAGATGAAAATCAGAATAGGGCAATGCACATGTTCGTTGACAGAGTTCTTTCTCGAAATCTATGTTCAAAGTCACAACTTGCTCATTCACTGAGTATCATCATATTTATTTATTCCTGTTGTAGAACTTATAATATTGTTAAAAGGTAGCAACAGTAAAATATTTTACAAATGAAGAAAAATTGAATGCCAGATTCGATTTGAAGAACGATAACTTGTTGTCATTTCCAAATATGCAGTGAAATTAAAAGACACGAACGTGTTTGGAGAAGTCGAATTGGATAATTTTTTTTATACCGAACAGGAAATAAAAATAGTAACTAGTGGATGCACAATCTGAAAGACAAATATCAATCTATTCACCTTCCATCACCAACTGACTACAAGATGTGAGCACGACTTTGTTTAAATGGGGAGCGGAAATGTCCGATATACACATATGCCATTATTGTTGTTCTAATACGTCGTGTAAATGATGCGATCTTAAAGTTTTCCTTCAATTACAACGTCACATTTTGTTTTAACGATTAAAATTCTGAACAAAGACGTGGCATATCTGAATTCTTTCTATTGGGGATGATGATAGAACAAGAAGTTAATTCATACATTCAAGATGATACAATGTTTGTTACAGTCATGACGGATTTTGGTGACATAGCTACGAAAGACAGTATTACCATACGGATTGAATATCATTCTGAATTGCTGACGTATATCCAACGATTATTAATTCAACAAGAAGCAGAACGAAGAGCACAACAATCAATCGAAATTGATATTGACGAAGATATTTTCTTATTATCATCATCTATTGTAATCGAGTATTTTTTATCAGTTGGTGCTAATTGAGCCTTTGATATTTCTTGCTATCTTAAGATGTGTATATTTCGATTTTTTAATTTATTATTAATGTTTTTAGATACAATTACATATCGAATCTTGTCCAATTCTACTGAAAATTTTCTACATCGTTATAATCTTAGGGTGTAGGTATATTTTTCAATTTCAGATAGATGCAAAATATTTTAAAAAAATGAATTCTTGTTTATTGACAATGAGTAGTCGAAAGATCGAGCATAGACTTTTTTTACAAAAATCATCCACTTGCAATTGTAGAGAAATAAATTTTATGGAATTAAGAATTTTTTTGGTTTGTCATCATTCGTCGTCTATTCGTCTACTGAATATTTTAGTGTTTCTATGTACAGTTCTATTGTCAATAGAATTCATATTTTTAAGTGTTGTAAAAAGAATGGAAAGAAAAGCAGTCAAAGTACACAGGAACCGAACAGGGTGTGGGTGTGTAAAAAATCTATCGTACTACACAAGTTTGATTAGAATTTGCTATTATAAAACTTTCGTCAGCTGGATACTGGGTAGCAAAAATTTGAGAAAGTCTCCATTCACTCACAACGTTGCATCAACGCATATATGAATAAATTTATGAAATGATACTAAACATTCTCACTCTTATTCATATAATTAATAGAAAAATAGTATCGAAACAAAATATGTCTTATTCAAATCAAAGTTTTTATACACTCTCGTAACTCGTCCACAATCGATATATATATATTAATCTATTCTACATCATCATACAATGTATTTGAAATGTATGATGCAACTGTTAATTAAGTGCTTATTTAACTTCTCGATCATAAAATAAATATCGACTGCTGTTTACTCGATAGTGACATTTCTATAATAAGCACATGTTAATCAGTATCATTTTTAAAAACTTATATTCGTATAAATGAATTTTAAATAACTATAAGATTTCATCTGTGTTAGTACCCTGTTGATTACAATGAGAAATAATAAAAATAAAAATTTTGATTACCCCGACACCATGAGAAACGTTTTTAATATTTATTTGAAAATACTACCTGTTCTCATATATATAAGAGAATTATATGAAGAATAAAACAACTTTCTATTGAATTGCAAATATATTTTTCGAACGAGAATTCTAACGCAAAAATAAGTTCAAATTAATTAGAGATACAATAGATTACTCTCCCCTATTGTTTGTTGCTATTCATTATTAAAAATTTCTAGGGCCTTCATTCGAGCAAACATTCAGTACCAAATTGTTCATTCAGAATTGAAAAATTTCGTCGAAAAAGAAAATTTTCTTTTTTCTTCTTCCTTTGAATGCGTATTGTTGCTATGTACTCGATACTTCTCCAAAGCGTACATGCTTGAAAAAAGAAAAGAAGTGGTAAAGCAAATAGAAATGGATTGAGTTATGTCGCTTTGTAAAAAAAAGGTAAGAATAAATGAGGAAACGTCGGATTCGCATCCGATTGTTATGTGTACTGCAAAAAACT